ACATTATTAAGTACCTCCAGCTCCCCACAGCTAGACAAATCCCAAAGTGCCTCCTTTACTGCATTTTTTTATTGATGAGGTTTGTCATTTTATGGGATGTGGTACAATAGAAAGCAATTAAGCCACTGATGCACACAAATGTTACCTTTTTGCAATGCGTCAGCAGCAATAATCTCCTTTCAAATATGCTGAGAAGCAGCTATAAAGCTCCTCGTGCCAGGGGCAAGCTCTGGTGAGCCCCGTTGTGCTCAGAGTTCCTCACAGAAGGTGTTGCTGAAGGTTTGCATCCATCAAAAACAGAGATAATTCAGGTGCACGAGCAGCTCCGTTCTGGCACGGCTCAGAGAGAACAGCCCTGAATCACCCCCAGCTCCCCAAAACTTTGTTTGGTCTCTTCAGTGGCTCTGGGTGGGAACCTTGAGGAGGACATGAGGGCCAGGCGCTGTTTTTGTGCCTTATTCACCTCCTGGGTCACAGGAATGAAGGAACCCCAGGATTTCAGCATTCCAGCTGCTGGCAGAACTGAACATTTTCAGGTGTAGACCCATAATTTCAGTCAGAATTAAAACCCTTTTACCTTAACCTTGGTGAAAGTATCACTTTCGACTTCACCAGAAGCACAAAGAAATCAAAGTCTGATCCTCTCCTCAGCCTTTACAAGTCAGCTAAATAAAAGGCATTACAGCATGCAATTGCTTGAAGCGGTAATATTCATTGAAATGAAGAATTTTTTTCCCCCAAGTACCAGAGAAACACTTGATATTTGCTGAAGGAAATGGAAATATTTCATGGAACAATTTATAGAGGCGACATTTTCACTGGAAACAATCCTGCGCCAAATCATTCAATCACAATTTATATCCAGAAGTGAAACGTTGGGCAGATTAAAAAAGAAAAAAAGGGGGGGACCTCATGCACAAAACTTGTTTCTGAATAAGCTGGGGCTGTAAACTCGGAGTGTCATTGATGGAGAAACAGCTCCCAGGGCCAGAAATTCCAGCAGTGAGAGGAGGCCTGGGGACTGCAGGAAGCACAAACTGCTCCGGAGTCATTTGGATTCCAATTGCATTTATGGCCCTGTGGAAATCACTTCATTTCTACCTCTGTTTTTTTTTTTTTTCATTTCTATCTCCTTTTTTTTTCATTTCTATGAGGAAGAGGATGTGCATTTTCCCATAAACCTCTTTCAGAGGGGTGGTGGGCAGTTACTTACGGCTTGCAAAGCTTTCTGACGTAACAAATCTCTTTTGATCAAGCTGTGTGTTTTTAAAGGCTGCCATTTTCACAAATCTACCTCCAAACAGCTCATGGCACAGGAAATCTAGCCTGGATCTTGATTCTACTTCCAGACTGAAATAAAAGTGACCTAAGAAAATATAAATGAATTGTTTCAATATCAAACGTTAACCCTCATTGTGCCTGGGGAGAATTTTCTCAGCATCCATGATGATGATGTATTGCAGGACCACTGCAATTAGCACCACTGTAAGCTCCTAATTTAGCAAATATTCCCACTGCAGGAACTTTAATCTATGTATTTATCTATATATGTGTGTGTGTATTTATATATATATTTATATATATATATATATACACACGTTTCCCAGATGAGTTTGTCAATGATTTTTTTTTTTTTTATTTTTGGTACACTTACATTTCCATTTCATGTTTTACATTATATAAACACACAGATGGAAACTCAAACATGTCACGGAAGATTCCAGCCAGTAACTCTGAGCTACTGCTTTGCATTTTATACCAGCCCTCAATTCTGTCTCTTCTCCTAAAGCAATTAGCAAACAGTTGCTCCATAAGCTGACAAGGTAGGAACAGGAGTGAAACACTGTTAAACCTTGAGCTGTCCTTCAAACTTCAAGCATTTAATGGAGTTAAAAGGAGCTGCAGATTCTGTGCACTGCCAAAAAGAAGATGCAGGACTTGCAGAGCACAATTCCTCTTTTACCACCACCATTCTCCTGATGTGCATCTTTCTCCTTAACAGCCACAGAGGGACTCTATGAGCAGAGGGTTCTTCATCTGGAAACTGTGGAGAGCTGGGAGAGTCCTTTTCTCCCACCTTGTATTTTCTATTCTGCTTATCCATGTGACCACAGCAGGTTAAACATGGCCAGTATCAATCTCAGAAGTAAATTTCTAATAGTACTTGGATTAGTCATCACTAGGAATACTGAGAGTTTCAAAGACAAGAACTTGCTTTTCTTATTGTTTTATTATTTGATTTATATTTGAATTACATTTGATTTTACTGTCCCCTAAAAATGCATTCACCTTGTGATTATTTCTCCCATGACTGTAAGGCATAATGAAATAAAGCCTGGATATTTTTTTCCACTATATTTGGCATGTTCCAGTAACCTCAGACCTTCTTCCTGTTAGCAGCCACCTACAGAAGCTACCTCAGCCTGCAGTGAATGGCCTGAGCAAGTGAAAAGCACTTACTTTGTCCCCCAAGACCAAAACCTTCCAATCCCTACTTTTAAGTTGCTCTGGGCTGGAGAAACAATTCCATTCTGCTGAACTGCAGCACCATCCATTGCTGCAATTCCACAGGGTCATTCTTTATGTAAATTCTCATTAGGGGAGGCTTGGGTAACATTACATTTGCAACATTCCTCTCCAGATTCTGTGTTTTGAAATCCAGCTCCAAGGCTAAAGCAGCTCTTTCATTAACTCACAAATGCCAGACACATCGCTTGCTTGGCAGCCACACACAGGCTTTTTTGGAATGTTTACAGGCAAAAAAAATCCTTTCCCTTGACCAAAACAATAAAAGGAATTGTGCCCACAGCTTTGGTCTGAAGATTTGTACGTGGGGCAGTGGAACAGAGAGTTAATGGGAAGTCAGTGCTGGCTGATCCAGCTCCATATCCAACATTCCAACCCCACTGACCTTCTGAGGGCAACGTGGCACCACTGCTCACTCCAAATGGGGACATCTCAAGAGAGGAACCCACAGCTCTCATTTTTCTTAAATGCTGTTTTATCTGCACTGCAACACAAAGGATGCTTGTAGGAATGGCAATAATTAACAGATTTAAATGAAGCCACAGTTAGAAAGCCATTAATATATTCACTTTCCACGGATTTTTGACTTAGATATTGAGCAAAGTATGAATCTCTGGCCCCAAAGTGGCAAATCAGTTTCCACTAAATGATCTAACACTAGATTGCACAGGTCAACTATTTGTAAAAATGCGATTTAAAAAAAAAGAAATAAAAAAAGTAAATTTCCTTTTTGCTTGTTGCAACAAAATGACTTAACAACTGGACATAACATTTAGTGCAATGGTTCAGTTGGGGAAACATCATCGTGTCAACTGAACCTTATCAAAGGTTGGACTTGATCTTGGAGGTCCTTTCCAAGCTAAAGGACTCCCTGATTCCATAAGCTTGCTTCATTTTGATTCCATCAAAGGTCCTGTCATGTCCCTGGGTTCTAACATTTTCCAAAATGAATAAACATTAAAGAATGGCCATGAAGGAACTTAGTTGAGCTGCTAAAGGATGCTGTTAACAAAGTGTTCTTAGCATGCCAGTGGTTTTGGAAACAGAGGCCATGGGAGCATGCACAAACTGAAAAACCTCACAGAGCGCTGTTGGTAACTGATGCCACTTTGGCTTTTCAGGTTCCACAGTGAAGAATTGCACAGAGCAAACCAAGAATTCCTGAGAAAAGGGCTCGTCCAAGCTCCCATCACTCACCCTGCAATATTCCAGAGAAGGTGCCAAGTCCTGGGCCCTTTCTATTGCAGGAACTCCCTTTCTTATTCCACATTTACTCTGCTTTCCATGAGACCGAAGCCAGGCCTCCCGTTCTAGATAGCTGCACTAATTAAGCTAATTAGCTCTTTAGATCAGATTTCTTCCCATGGACTGATGAATATCAGATTATTTAGAGCACAGTCAGCTGCCAGAAGGCAGGGAGATGATCCATCCCCTGAACAGCCAGTGCAGCCCAGGTGGAACGGGAGCTTCACCTCAAACCCTGCAATAAACACAGAACTGTTGCACTCCAGCATTCTGCTCAATCCTTCAAACAGAGCTGTGCCAAGTTAACCCACAAATACCTGTCCTGCAATTACACAGAGTGTTTGCACATACCGCAGAGAGCTAAACTGGAAAATAAAAAATACAGCATCCTAAATCATTCTAACACATGAGCCAATCTGCTAAACTCAATCAGTACAAAAGCAGCAAAGGCAGGCATCACAAAAAGACACAAAACATGGTGCAGACTTAAAATCTGTGAAGACAACTGGAGTCATGCTTAGCTTAAATTACAGTTTCATTTTAATTTTTACTTTTTACATATGCATGCATTATGAATAGCCCTAAAAAAATTATTTGGTCTAACTAATATTTAACAAAATATTTTTAATTGAAAATTATAATAAAATACCATTTTACAGTTTGCATATATACTTACAAATAGGAATAAAGATATTTTTAGGCAGAATAAGATCAGACTCCTCCATGTTAAATTATAATTTCTAAATCTCCTGTAAGAAAAGAGAAAATTCCTGCTCATTTACAAACTTAATTCAGAACTGCTACAGCTCAATTGGTGATTACCTGAAGCACAAAAAAGGACATAATCAGACCTCTCATGACAAAATGCTCATATTTACAGCGTGCTCACAGGCAAAAGAACAAAGGTTATGTAACACTGCAAATATTAAATTAATTCTGTTAGTACAAATACACTCTTCAGGAGGAAATCACTGTTTATGTTTTTAATATTGGAACAGTTCCTTTGTAAAGGAACATTTGTGGATCTGATCAATGTTTCAGTTTCCTGTCTGTGATTGAACTCACCAGCTAAACTGTGAATATTTTTTAGTAGAGGGTGTTTCAGTATTTGGTGTTTGCTAAGCCAGGATTCTGAAGCTGGGATGGAAATTCTATTTCAATTAAGAGCAAGAAAACAAGTCTAGAATAAAGGGGTGATGGATATAGAACTGGGAGGGGGGAACTGTAAGTGCTAAATCTTTTAGATTCAGGTGACTCCTGAGTGCCTGCCTGTCTCTCACCTGGCACTGTGAGTGATGGTGATCCAAAATGATGGGGACACACAGGATCCATGTGGGCAAAATGTCCACATGAGATTCACCAGATCCACTTCCACTCCAGTGCTATAAAATACATTGGCTCTTCCAAGCTCTTCTGTTTGCTGCTGGGAGACAGGGAGACATGGATGCTGGTTGGAGGATATTTTTTAACTTTCAGAAGGAAAATTAAGTTATTTGGAATATTTTCAAAATTATTTGCGTATGTGCTTTTGAACAGCATTCCTATGCCCATTTTCAGAAGTTCATTAATAAAAATGCTGCTAACCCTGTGGGCAAAATGTTCTCTAAACTGCAAGGCACAAAGCCCTGGACCAAAAAATGCACACGGAACAGTATTCCTTGGAAAAATGGCAGCAGCAGGATCAGACTCGTTCCTGTGCCAGACCTCTGTGCAGCCTCTGCCTTTGGATAAGTCATTAGAAAAGATGACATGTGTATCCTGGCACAACTAGGTCCTGGGGAAAAGTTGACAGATGTTAGAGTATAAATCAGTTCTGATGCACATTGTGTTGCCTCCAGAGGCATCTTCTGGTCTTCCACAAAAGGTTACTGAACCATAGATAATACAAAAATGCAGATACAATTGTAAGGAATAAATGTAAGGTTCTGTTCTACCCCACTCAGAAAGTCTAATGCATGAATAATGTTCCATCTGCACAGTGGTCAAATGCGACTGAAATTGATTTTAGATGTAGCTCATGGAGCAGCACAGACCTTAACAAGCTCTGTGACATGGGGGACCTTGTCAGGAATCTGTACAAAATTCATGATACAAGAAATTTGTATCAATGAGAATCTGGGACAAGGAAGAATGGGGGTTATATTACCACAAACTTTTGTACCAAGTAATCAAAAGGAATCACGTACCAGAGGCATTCTCAAGTAGAAGATAACAAAGTTTAGTCACATTAAATTTATAATAAACAAGTGAAACATGTCAAATGTGCAGCTACATATCCTGACCATTAACTTTTCTGGATGCATGAATAAAATGTGAGCACTGGGAACAAAACTGTCTTCTCTTCTGCTAACCTGTTTAGAGGATTTTAATTTTTTTATTTTTTTGCCTGCAGCTTCAATTTTTCCACCACTTACCTTCACCAGGATCAGGACAGTCACGCCTGTAACAATCTGGAGTGGTTTAGGATTGCATATATCACTCCTAAATCCTAGACAATGATTCAATTCCATCTGGTGACTCTGCAGAAGAAAGAAAGATTAAAAAAATTATTTAAAAATGAAAAAAGCTGTAAATGGAAAAGCAGTAAAATAAGTCACCTAAATTTTGGAATAGCCTGTGCCAGAGCTGGTGCATTTATTCACTGAAACCTGATCATCAACAACAGTCTTTCAACAAGCATTCATAAATATTTTACCTTCCCCCTGACCAATCCTTTACATCAGTATGCAAATGCCATTGATATTTATTTACATCCATTGATGATATTTGCATCCATTGATGATATTTACACCCATTGATGATATTTACACCCATTGATGATATTTACACCCATTGATGATATTTGCATCCATGTGCTTTCACTTTAACACATGGGTGACATGAGAACAGGGAGGCTCTGGGTGCACTTTGGCTGCTCTGGAATAATAACTGGAGGAGACCAAATCCTCCTCTCCTCCCTGTGAGATGATGGTTTCAGAGCTCAGGCTGCAAAGCAGACTCACAAAATATGTCTGATCCAATATGTTCTACTCAGGCACCACAAATTCATGAACTAAAAGGCCTGTCAGCCTACCAATTTAATGCAGAGATTTATTTTTACATGTTGCAATGACATTATGAGCCACATAATATTTTGCTTTGAAAGAAAACAAGAGCAATATTTTTCAAATCGGGTTAGAATTTATACATTCACTCCATAATGTCTCAAGATGCTTTTCATTTCAAGATTTTGATTATGGAACCCATAGAATTTAAAGACAAGCAAACTAAATAAAAGTTAATATAATAAAACCAGTTAAATGTTTCTTTCTACTGTCAGTCAATTCAATTTTCACAGATTGAAAAGAGAAATAATTCAAACAGGCATCCACCCAGTCTCCTTTTCTGGATTTTAACACACTTTGTTTTGCATTCTTCTAAATGCATCACACTTTAAAGTGGTTAGGGATCATATTCCTTGGCATATAAAGATTCTTCAGGATGGATTTATACAGAGGGGACTGCAGCAGCTTGAAGGATGGAAACTAATAACATCAGCACAGCATGCATATCATTTTGTGCCCAGAAACTTGGCAAGACTAGGAGTGTTTTTAGGGGAATGTGGCTGTGCTAATACTCCCTCCTGTGAGCTGCTCCTCCTCGCTGGATAATCAAGATCTCCACGCAGCCATCTGAGATGGCTTTTCACAGAGCTGCCCTCAAAAATGAAATTATCTTCATTATTATTAATTTCATGAAAATAAATTGCCTCGGAGTTTAGTGCTAATTACTGTCCCTGTCATACAGGCCAGGGAGGGGAGGTGTGGAATCTTATGCGAGAGTCTCAGAGACACAGGCACACCTTGCAGAGTGAGGAAATGCCTTCTAAAAACCAGCACAGAAATCTTCAGCTAAAATAGCTCTGCAATCACCTCACAAGACATATTTCCCCTTTATTTTAAACTCCAAACAGATTTATTTTAAACTCCAATTCTATTATTTTTATACTTGGAGACAACTTCAAACTAAATGTTACCATTTCTCTGCTGTGTTTTACAAGATGCCAACAAGCTTACACGGCTGACAAGCATGGCAACCCACATGTGAATTTTGGCACATCTGGGCTTTCATTTCCCTCTTTTGCAAATCAGAGTTTATATTGAAATGCTACTGAAATAAGAATGAAAAAGCACCTGTGAACACCCATTCAGCCTCAGAGGTTTCTGCCCTGCCCTGCAGAGCAAAGAGAACTCGCTGACCTTGATTCCTTTATCAGCTGAGAGCAGGCCAGATAAGCTCTTGGATCAAATTAAAGATATTCCAGCCTAAAATCACCTGCCAAGGGCTCACCCATGGGCTTAGGCTGGGCTTACTGTCCAAGACAGCCTTGTCCTACAATCACACTGGATGTACCTGAGACAGGAGCCCTGCCCCTGCCTGCCCTGCCCAGGGGGATTTATTCAGGATTTATCTCTAGAATCCAGCCCCAGGCTGCTCTTTGACTGAAACAACGTGAATTGGGGTTTTGTGGGGTTGGTTTGTGTTTCAGATGTCTCCAGCTTCTTTCTGTGAGCAGCAGCCTGCTCAGATCAGCTTGGTGAGACTGAAACCACCCAGCAGCTTGTGGACAACCATCACACTAACAACAGCTCAACCCTCCAAAAAACAGCAGTTTTGAAAATGACTGGTTTTGGTCTCTGACCTTAAAAGCAATGAGAAGAAGAAGCTGGAGACATCTGAAACACAAACCAACCCCACAAGACCCTAATTCACGTTGTTTCAGTCAAAGAGAAGCCCCACAAGGCTGTCTGCATGAGAGGAGGGGAATGAGGGAACTCCTGCTGCTTTTAGTGCCTTTCCATAAACCACAGTCAGCAGAACTAAACAGTGTTACACAACACTTTCTGCATAAACAGAGTTTAGTAACTGCTAGGTAAGAGAAATAAAAGTTAAAGGAGGAAATACTTCTTTCCATTCTCTCCTCCTCTCTCCCCTCTTTCCAACATGAAGCTGATCAATAAATCTCAGGGCTTGCTTAGGTAAAAAATTAGGAAAGAAATAATTTACTGAGAAATGCCTGTCTGGGTACAGGTGTAAATATCATTTTAGTTCAATAGTGAGCCAAATGCAGCACAAATCACCAGGTATATGAAAATAGCTACCACTTAAACGGTATTGCAAGCAGATAAGTTACACTGCACACCCCTGAGGCTTTGGGGATTGAGAGTAAAAAACATTGATCTGCTGAAACACCACCTCCCTAATTCTTTGGGTTTTTAAACCCAAAGGATTCCTTCAAGGTATTCTATGCAATGAACATTTCAGTTTTATGAAAAACTTACCTTGTATATTTACAGGGGTTTTAGAAATATCTATTTAAAGGTGGCTTTAGAGATATCTATTTAAATAATAGAACACTTATTTTTCTCACAGTTTGAGAAAGCAAACATGAAGTTTCATTAAATATGAAAAATGAGACAAAATGACAAACACCACATCCATCACAACCTCATTCTGTTAATTAAAATCAGATGCTCAGCTGAGTAATTTTAATTAGTAGTTCTGGACACATTTTCAATTGTTTGGAATAAGGAGTTTTTAATAATTTATCCTCATTTCTTGGAACTCAGAAGTATATTTCACTCTTGGACCTTACATGCCTATGCCCATAAATTTTACCCATGAAGCATGAATTACTGGAACTGTTTGCTCACAATTAACAAGTGGCTAAACAGGACCAGCAGTGTGTTAACGGCAGCTCTTCATTGGAGGCTTGATGGAGTCACAGCACATCATTTCCTTTTTTCTTAATCAAATCTCAAGTGCAGATCTCCTGTAAAAGCATTTTTTGTTTTCAGATGAGTTAAGGCTGCACTTCAACTCACTTACAGGATTCCCAAGGGACCTCATGAAGTTGTTTTTTCATCCAGAGTGGTAGCTGTACTTTTGACCTCAGCAAGCAACAAAAATACTGACTGGTTTTTCTTAAAAGGAGAAATTGATGTTGCTTGATACTCTGTTAATCGAGAATTTGTTATCTTATAAAATAGAAATTCTTGGGAACAGGAGCTATGAAGGCAGAAAAAATCTCTATTTTCAATAATATAGGTGCCTATACATGTTTTGATCTGGTAACTGCTCCTTTTCAACACTAAATTGTAACAATTTCTCACAGCTGTCTTAAATGACATATATCCTGCATTCTTAGCTGAGTTATACCCAGCTCATAACTACCTAACACAAACCAAATTCTTCCACTGCTAAAAATGCTGCTAAAATTGCTAATTCAAGTACTGAAGGCCAGGAAAGGTCCCCAGGGTTTCCTGTTCAACCTTGCCTCCACCTCCAGGGCACCATTAAACACTGTTAATTTTTAATAGGCTACTAATATCCCAATTTTTTTCCCACTGACTCCATTACTGGGGAGTCATTTTCCCACATTCTTGATTTCAGCTGGTGTCAAGTGAATGCTACAGAACTTCCAAAAAAACAACGCAGAGATTAATGCTAAAAGCATCAGAACCCTCCCTCAGCCTGGAGATCCTTGATTTCCCCCATTTTCCCCACATCAGAGCAGGCTCAAGCACAAAGGGTTAGTCAGGGATGTGCCACCACGTGCAGAATTTCTCAGCCTAATGCAGTCAATAAAACAATATATTCACTGTTTACACAGTCCCCAGTGCTGGCTGCTGGGATTCTCATGCATAATTTTGGTTTAACAGTCAACCTTGTTAATATTTTTTATAGGGACAGAGTAAAGTGCCACTGTATTAGTCTGCCTGCATGAGAGCTCAACCTGAAAGCAGAGTGTTCCACTTCTTCCCGTGGAACATCTGTGGAGTATAATTATAATTAAGCACGTCTTGAATATTAATTGTTCTAATGTCACTGATGTGATGTCCTAGGATACACTGAATCAGTTCTGTTTCAAAGTGCTGTTTTATTTAAGAGCTCTGCCAGATGTTCTCATCATTTCACTTAGATTTTTCCACCAGGAAAACAGTTGCTGAGACTTGTGAATCTTCTGCCTGTGCCAACTGTCAAGGAAATAATTTCATCCCCAAAGAGGAGGCAAAATCACCAAGTTTTTTAGATTTTTTTTCTTTGAAGGAAAAAGAGAAGTGATGTTCCAGAAACATTTGGCTCAGAAAAGATTTTGCTGAGAACAACACAATTATTGTAATCTTGGGCAACAATGAGCCCCTTAATTCACTCAAGTCACCACCTTAGATTTTCATTTGCATCTTATTTTCCACCATATCATGCAGCAGAAACTCAGTGCAGCTGGTTTCAGTGTTGCAGAAATTAGAAATGACTATTTTGTAGGACCATATCCTTTATCAACACCTTGCTCTATTTTTGCTGTCTTGAGTGATCATATGCCAGAAAAGAGCACCTGGGGATCCAATCCCTCTCTCATCAACAACTTTTGTAAGAGTGGGAACTCAACAACTGCTGAACCTCAAACATATTTTACAATTACTGATTCTGATATTCCCACAACACTAAATCTAAATTTGCTTGCATTACTTCACAGGTGAACTACTTTAAACACGTTTTTTAGTTTATTTGTAAAGAACAATAAAAGAAAGGCTTTCTCATGAAGGTTCAGCAGTGACAGTGAATGACTGAAACATCAAACCAGGCCTCACTTAGAAGCCTATTTGCTTGACATATTTGTTCTGAAATAGTTCTTTCAAAGAAACTACTTCAAAAAAAAATTGCTGAATACCGCAGTAATTAAGGATTTGATCTCATAATGTGGCAAGTGCCTTTCAAAAACCAGTAAGTTTTTTGTTGTGTATTGTTCTCAGCAAGAATGCAGGTTCCATTGAGTGGGTTGGAATGTTTAAAACCCACATGAGCTTATTATGGACTCGATAGGTTTGTGAATCTTGGGTTGGACTGAGATGACCCCCAGACCCCTTCCATAGGTTCATCCCTAGGTAAAAAGACTTTTGATTAGAAAAGCACATTATTTCATTTAACAATGGAATACTAAGCAGTGCTTGTCAAGTCTTAAAAAATTCCAGTGTCCTCTTGCCAGCTGATGAAGAGAGAAGAAAATTAATTCCATTACCTCTACTAACAGAACACGTTTGCCAGGGAGTAACTCTAAACAAATGAGCACATGAAAAAAACTACCAGGATTTACTGGGCTGCTCTTTATAAAGCAGACTTTTGTTCTATACCATTGCCATAATTTCCAAGCAGGTCTGACCTTGCAATCTTAGAAGCTGCGCTATCAAAATCCATTTTCCAGTGACTGATTTGCAGAAGTTCACAGCATTACCAGCAAGGCTGGGCACCAGAGCTGCAGATCCACGATTTCAGGGCTCTGTAACTGCTCCCTCCCTTTGGGGGACTCTGCAGCTGTCCTCACATCAGCAAAACAGATGGGAGCATTTTTTATCTCAACCAAGTGAGTGAGCCTATAGTGCGGGTGCTTCCACAGAGAGCAAAGGTTCCCTTTAATGGGCTCACTGCATCCTCATTTCCATAATTAATTCTGTTAATCAAGAGGCTGAAGTTTAATCCGGCATCCTCTTTTTTAGGCTAAACCAAAGGCTGGTGGCTTCACATCTCATCATGACACAGGTACCGCTGAGCAAACCAAAGTTTCCACCAACATTAACAGTTCTGCTTCCACTCAAAGCCTGACTCACAGGAAGGAACATAATTAAGGAATGAACATTAATTCTCCACAAATTCCCTGTTTTTTTTTAAATATTACCTTGCCATAAAATAAATTCATCATCAAACTTTATCATTCTAGTCAACAACACTCATGGTTTGAAACGTGTCCTGCTCTTCAGCTGAACATCAAAGTGAAAATATGAAGTAATTTCTAATTATAAACAACCTGAAGAAACAGCAAGTCTATTTCTCGTTAAATATACTTAATATTAAAATAGATTTTGCTTTTCAGAGGAATTCATATCCTCAGATCTTTCTGTTCTCACTCTCTGAAAATGTTCCTTTGAAAGTGCTGCTGTGTGCAGCTGAGGTCACCATGTACAAGCTCCTCAAGTGGCTGAAAAGCCCAAAGATTGAAAATACTACAAACAGTTGCTCTACAAATCCCCCCAAAATGTCTATTTCTTGTATTTAAAATGCTGTTAATTTTTCTTTCCCTATTAGCAATATGTGCTAATTGCACTTTAAAAAAATTCAAATAAATGTTAGAAAACCATAGATAACATCATGTGCATCTTGTCTTGTGTGACACTTAACTCTCAAATACTGGCAGTTTGGTGTATTATTTTTAATTTCATGCATTATTAAGGACTCCTCATATGTAAAACACTCAAAGAGATACCCCTGACAAGACACTCCTAATAATAAAGAGCAAACATCTAAATACATGGCATAAACACAAGAAATACAATTTACCTTATGAATTAACATGTTTTACTACATATTTCAGCTCTGAAGGTTTAGAGTTTTATGACCATCATTGTTTTATCCAAATTTCCCAAAGCATTTGTGCATCTTGTACCACAAAAGCTGATAAACAACCTCTATTTTCCAAATGGTACTACTGACCAACCTCCACTCACAAAAGCAATCTCTTATTTAATGTGATCCCTCACATGAGGCAGGCTCCACTGAGAAATGGGAAAGAATCTACCTTTGCAAGCCTGCCAGTAAAATATATTTGGGTTTGGACAGTGCAAGCTATAAACAAGATAATTTGTTCCTCATTACCTTTATCCCACTCAATACACTCTCCTTTGTTAATTATACCAACGTGCCCTGTGCTGCATAGCTCCTTTATTTTTTCAGCTAAGAAGTAAAAGAAAATATGGCTAAAGCAGAAATGCTGAGGGAAAACCAGCCAGGAAATGATCTTTGAGTAGAGTTCAACGTGATCAAATTCATATTGATTTCAAATTGTCAGAGGCTGACAAACACCCAAGTCCCTGTCTCCTGCCTTCTGATTTCATTACCTAATGTACCAGGCTGTGACAGGTTTTTAATGTGCTTACTTGCTGCCATCACTGCTGGACACACAGCAAAGACTTCTGGAGCTCTCTTTAATGGAGGCATAATGAAAATGGAAACGGAATGAAATGAAAATGAAAATACTTGTTTATTAAATGAAACTACCTTAGTATTACTTGAAATAAGTTCTCTTAAACAGCCTAAGCAGAAAAGTAGGTTTTAAATTTCTGTGTGATCTTGCAACGTCTATTCTCTTCAAGATTAAAAGTGGAACTTTTCTGAAGGCAGAAAAAAATCACCTTGTGCACCAGTGGGAGATGCTCCAGGAGCAGCTGGGTCACATTTCATCCATCCCCCTTCGTGGTGGAGCAGCAGATCCTGGGGTTTGCTCCCCTGGTGATCTGCAAACCCTTCAGGGACACTGCTGAGGGCTGAAACAAAGAATTGAGAGCACTCAGAGCAAACTTCAGGGCATTTCAGTGCATTTTCTGTGGCATTCCACAGGTGGAATCTCCCATTCTCAGTTCAAGGCTGCAGAGCTCCTTCTGCACACAGGGATGAAGTTACTCCAGCCGGAGGAAAAAGTTACTTCACACAAAATCCACTTCAGCAAACTGAAGTTTGTATTGTCATAACCGGTGGAAAGTTAAGTAAAACGTAAGTATTGAGGACAACAAATTTCAAATGCTGATGGGTTGGGCTGATGAAGCAGCTCTGCTCCCACAGTCACTGTGATGCAAGCATGGGGTTTTCAGTTTCTGCATTCCAGACTTCTGTTTTTGCTGAGCACTTTCTCAGCATTGTTAATATTCATACCTCCATAGGAAAATTCACAGGACTGAAACCATGCTGAAGTTTTGCCCATTATTTTTCTAAACAGAAAAACATTAGTAACAATTTTTTTCAGCTCAAAAAAAAATATGGTCTATATATGTGTGTGTGTATATATATATATATATATATATATATATATATATATATATAACCCATGTGAAAATAGGGTAACAAAGTAAAATATTCATGATTTTTTGTGCCTATTTAGCAGTGAAGAGGACAAATAAGATCACTGATAATTTTCCTTCCTCAATTATTATTTTTTTAATCTAGTCTTCAAATATGGTATTTTATTTTCATCATGGTGAGAAACATCTAGAAATTTTCTCATATTTAATGAGCATGGCAGAACATATTTAAACAAATATAGGGGGAAAATACTTCATGAAAAAATAAGCATAAATTAATGTACAAATGACTCAATCAGAAGTCTAAAAACCTTGACAAAGTGCTGGAAGCCCAGCACACAACTGAACTCATGTAAGAACAAAGACCTTATGATTCAACCTCAAAGAATTAATCTTAAATTAAAAGTGAGTTACCTGAGATAGTGAGTTTGACAGCCCATGCTGTCAGGTCTGACACTACATAAATTACTGTAATCCAAAAATGAAAAGGGTACCATTCAACCTTCTCTTGCCTAAAAGACCTTGAGCTCTCGTTAATTTCTTAATAATGTCTACACGTTATTCCTGTAAAAAAAGATAATTTATCTCCTTGCTCAAAAAAAAAAAAAAAAACCTCAAAACAAACAACCCAAAATTCTAACAAGTTATTTTTCTGCTTTTATTATTGCTTATTATAAAGCAGTGAGAAATACAGCCCTAAGGAACTCACTCCAAATTCCAGGAAAGCCACTGAAAGTGATCAGTTCTGTGCTTATTTTGCAGCACCTCTCCCTCAGAACATAAACCTGGTGTGTGTAATCTTGTGTGAGACCCCTGAGTCCTGGATTATCCCAAATCTTCAATCCCTGGCCTAGGGAATGCCAGAGGATTAACCTGTCTGAAACGGCCTTTGGAGACAGAAAATGCTACTTGAACACACCAGGCTGGATACTGTATTTTTCTCATGATTTCAATTAAGAGCACTGTTTTATTGTGGAATTTTAACTTTCAGAATGGAAGTTTTCACTAAAAGAGATTTGGCTGGAAAAGGCAGATCTGAGACTGAAGGCAGCAATCAGGATCTTCAGACTGAGCTGATGTGCAGCAATGCACACAGCCATGACTCTCAAACATAGCCCACAACTTGGATTTAACATCCAATCCCAGGCACAGAATTGAATATAATTACCCCAGTAAAAGAAAAATCTGCTCAATCCCTAACAATCAATCCAACAAATATGCTCTTCCACAAATCTTATTTATAAAATTAACTTCAGCTTGCCTGTCCATAAGTCTCTGTATCAGGGGCTGAAAGCACCCAGAACAATAATCAATATGTCATGCTGCCAAGTTAGATGCAGGAAATAAGCAGAGATATTTTCACATATCATATGAAAAACATCCTGAAATATGCATAAAGTCCATATGAACCAGCAGGAAATACAGACAAAAATAATCAAATGCAAATAGATTCTGAAAGTGAAAGATATCCAATGTACTCAAAGAATCAGAAAAGCAATGTGTATGGTGTAAGAATGCTTTTCTTCATGTTTATATGAAGAACATGAAGAAAAGCATTCTTTTCTTCATGTTCTTCATATAAACATGAAGAAAAATATTCTTACAGCCTCCAACACGTGCCTCAGGAAAGGCTGGAAAAAATGCCCAAAGAGGAGCAGGATAAACTTTGCTTTGAGGGAATTTTTCCTGCTCTGTTCCTAAGATATTGGCCACTTTATCCTTTCATTTCACACTCCCATTTCTCCTGGAGCTGCTGCATTTTCGTGCTCCCTGCTGCCCCCACTTTGCTCTGCCCCACTCACTGTGGCTCCCCTGCTCTTGGCTCTCCCTAAACTCCAGAGAACTGCCCATAAACGCTCGTTTTCCCCAAAATAAGTTCATAAACTGTCTCAAAAAGAGCACCCTGGAGCACAGGTACCCCCAGCCCAGGGAGCTGCCTGCAGGACAGAATTATTCTCCTCCTGTGCTCCTGCAGGGCAGCACCAGGGATAATTCACTGGCAGAAAACCAGAGAGGCTCTGCAGGCAGGGCAGCCTGGGATGATCAGAGGGAGGTTAATGTGAGATAACATCCCTGGAAAAACCTCAGCACAAAGTCCTGATGCTGCTCCTGAGCTCACGGGCTCCGTGCTAAAACCACTCCTGGCAATGGCAGTGGGGACACAACGGGTGCTCTGCAGAACAGAACGTGCCTGCAATGGCAGCTTCCATTTCTAGAGGAAAAACGTTTAAACTGTGAGCTCTGCCCAGGGTAATACAGATAAATTAATCCAGAAATTAGGGACAGGTGATTGAATATTCATATCTGCCTTGTAAATTCCTTTAAAGAGTCATACATCTGCATTTAGACCCTTACATAGTTTTAAAACCTGTTCCTATACAATTCACCAGAGACCAGCAAAGTTAGATCTGATGCATATTTACACAACTTCCAGAAGCACAAGGGTGGTTTCCGAATTCTGCTCTTTCTGGGGGTGCTAAGAAGAAAAACCCACCACAGTTTTGAGGCTTGTCCACGGTGAATAAAGGTAAAGGTAAACACGAAAGTGAATTTAAATTCTAAGAGTGACTGTCAGGACTTAACCCTCACTCTGATTGTGCTTTTGGGTTGGGGAGGGTGCATTGCCATGACCCAGAGACAACAAAATCTGCTCTTTTATCCATCCTCAGCTGACTTGGAAAACAATCTCTGTGTGCTGCAGCAGCCACAGAGCATGCGAGGGTACAAACTACACAAAAACATTTTCTGTGTTTCCCTTTGAGTGAATTTTCCCCCTTATGTATCTTGAGTTGTTCTTGTTATTCTTTATTTGACTTAACATGAAGATGCCTGGAAGCAGCAAAATATTTTCTCTTCCTTATTCCACTGTCAGCAGCATTACTTTGACCTTATCAGACAAATTTATGTTGAAAATTTTCTCAAGCAGTATTCTCCTGTGAGCTGCTATAATGTGCATCTTTAGATTATCTGGTGTAATTTAAATATGTGAGGAATTTCTTAATTATTAATTTTGTCCTGTTTTAAAAGTACATATTAAAAATTGAAAGAAATCCCTGGACACAGACATCTGCGTTGCACTTTATAAATAATACCAATAAATAAATATTAATGCTTATATTTCATTTATATTTCAAGAATAAGGCTATGAAGCTTGAGACTCCCAATAATTAAAGTTAAAATTGCCTAATGCTTCACACTAAAAATGTTATAGTAATTTCTCAGGTTGAAAGTATGAGGAGCTGCTGCTTGCAACACCACACCATAGCAAGAATGAAACAAAGCACCTCTGATTTTATAAATCAGTGAAAAGGGGATCATGTAATGACATTCACATCCTGTTAAAAATGATCTAGTGGTAGCAGATGTCCACAAAGTTGGTATATTACATATGTTAATTAATTATTTCAATAGTATTTTTGTTAGGTAACAAAAGAAAAAAATGTGGGCATAGAAGAGTTCAAAAAATTATAAAGCTGCAAAAATTCAACCAAATTCCAATTGCAAAAATCTTAAAAGCTTTTGCTAAAAGCAGCATTAACATGATTTAACTGATGTTACAGAATTTATTAGAGCCAACTCAGTCTTTTTGCAAAGTCCAATGGAAACTTGGTGCAGTTAATCTCATATTTTCTGTCCCTGGAAACAAAAAACTTTATACTCACACGAGAAAATCACCTGCAGCACAGAAGTGTCAGTGTGCAGCTTGCACCTGGCTCCATCAGCACCTCTGACTCCTGTCTGGGCACAGAAATAACCCACCGTTTTAAAGGATATGTTCATAGTCTAAAGCGCTCTGTAGTAAACCCCTCAAGTTTAGCCAGGGCCCCTTGGAGAATAGAATGCTGACACAGCGGCAAAAAAGTTTCCTGTCTCCAAAGACATCCGCCTTGTACCTTATCCCTATAGCCATGTAAGGCAATATTGTGTTAAACCCTACTGTTGGTCACTTATAGTCACTCTAACACCTTTGCCATTGGTCAGGATTGGATCCAGGCCAAGGGTATAAAAGTAGCATACTGTACCCCTACTAACTCGGAAGAAGAAGAGCTGAGACCCTTCACGGACCCCTACAATAAAGCCATACTCGTGGAGCAGCCAGCGTCTTCTGCTTCTCCTCTCTCTACCGTCTGCTGGAGCCTTAGGCCAAGGGAAAAGCTACCTAGCAAGCAAAGCTGAAATCACAAGAGCTGCCTGATCACTAAGAGCTGAATATCTCCCTGCTTGCTAGAAGCTAACCCGCAGCCTTAGTCTGAGAGCGAGCTGGCTTCTGGCACCCAGTGCCCTTGGGGACTGAGCTCTGGAGCTGTAACAGCTTGCATAAGATACGACCAAGCAAAGCTCATTTAGCGCTCCACGAAAAGGAGAGGAAGGGAACACAAAGGTGCCAAAGGGGGACCATCCAGGGATCCTCCCCATCCCTGCTCCCTCCTGAGAGCCTCTCCAGCCCGGGGTGCAGGCTCAGA